TATAGGTCCTACTGGCAAAACAGTTATTTCTTTCTTCCCATAGAGTCCCTTTTGCCACCATTTGAACCACAAAACTTAGAAATGTAAATAGAGGGTAACTATATTTATATACCTGTCAAAGAAATAGCAAAGTGGTTTTCCCCTAGAGACTCTTTGGACATAAAATTCTGATTGGTGACATAAAATTCCTATTCTAAATATTTAGATTTAAATAACTCTCATCAAAATTTTAGCAAGCTAAAAGGTGAATAACAGAATGAATTGTCTTTAATCTTTTCTTTTTTTCCTTTCCTTTTCCTGTTTTCTATCAATCAATTAGCACTCACTCAATTAGGGTGGAAACACTGAACACCTATTATGTATATTCCTATAACCGTGCCCATCAGAGTTTCCCGTCTTTAGTCTCTCCTTCTACTTCTGAACATCTGGCTGTTTTTTCTGACAAACCCCAAGTCACAAGAATGACTGGAGAGCTTTACAGTTGGGTTGAGATATACAAGAGTTCTGTGGCTATACAAGAGTTCTGTGGCTATCTATCTATATATATATCTTTTAAATTATATATTCTATGTTACATATACAAAAGATCTGTATCTATGTTTATGTTTATATCTATTAGGTTTCACAGTGCTTTTTTCCACTTTTTAAACAAACTTAGCTTTTATCCTTTGGTTCATATGCTAGGGTACTAAAAGTGCATTGTTGTTTTCTCACTGTAATCCCGAATTCTTCTACCAAACATGGAGTTGCCCTATGAAATGGAGCACACACAGACTCTGGAGTCCAAATTCAAGGATTCAGATCTGAATCCTCTTCTGCTGCCTACTAGTTGAAGGGCTTTACAAAGCAGAGTTAATCCCTCCCTCCCGTGTGCTGTCTCTGCTCTCTAAAAGCTTTGCTACCATGCCAACCTGCTCTCTTAGCATACTGGTCTACAGGAGCTTCTAGACTTTGAAGTCCTTAGGAGCAGACACTGTGTCTCATTTAGTGTAGCTGAATCTAGTATAGGTTCTGGACTTTGACTGCCTAGACTTAACTCTGATTCTTGTCACTTCATAATCGTCTGGCTTTGAGCAAGTTGTTTTTTATTTCCATGTCTCCATTTCCTCTTTTGTAAAAAGGAGATAATAGTGCCTCCCTCACTCTGCTGTTGTGGAGATTAACTAAGTCCCTATTTGTAGAACATTTAGAAGAGTTTCTGACACATAATAAATATCATGTATTTGTTATACGTGTATGCTTAAGGAATTGTCTCTAACTTTGAAAGCTAATATGGTTCTTATTTTCTTTGTTGAAAAGCAGATAAAGGAATGTAAATATCCTAGAATTCAGTCTTCTCTTTAAAATTGTGCCTTATAAGAACTATTATGATTGTGAGGATGAAATGAGATAACGGATATTTAAGCATTATAGAGATAAAAAGTATTTTTGTGGCTGTTTGATTATAAGGGCAATGTGACATTAGCTAAATCATTCATAGAATTAAATTGGTTTCAACACCTTTTGGTTTGGCAGTGTATTGTCACTGTTTATTAGAGTATTATTTCATCTGTTGAACTATTGATTAGTGCTGTTGAAAAGCTAGAAAACGGCAGGTTTTGACCCTGACCCATGGAATCTCAGAAAGCAACCTCATAATAAGATACCGTTTGTAATACATGCTTTTGTTTAACATTAACCAACCTCTGAAGCTGAACAGTACCATGGTACATATTTACCTCTGAATGTGTCCTCAAGAGACAGTGTTTAAACATGCAAATGTGCTGGTGGATCTAAGGAGGTTTGATTTGGCTTGCTTTGGATTTTTTTTTTTTTCTATAAGATTGACAAAACACGAAGACCCCAAAATGTTCCAAGACACATGTTTCAGATGCCACAATAAATGACTGACCTTTTGCTTACACTATGGGATTTGAGATTGCTGGCCTTCTTGTACTAATTCTCAAATTGTCCACCCACATAGGTTTGTCTAATCAGAACCAGTTGATTCAAAGGTAAGACCTTTTTAATCATTATGAGTCAGTGTCTGGATAAGCTGGCAACATGAATGGATGACTGGCTCTCTTTGAGGCCCTTCTTGATCAAAGAAGGAAGGACCCACAACTTCCATTTCCTTATCTCTTAAATGCAGGGAAGTCTTATAAGCATGCACATATGCTACTTCTCACTAGTTTCCAGTTAACTTGTATAAGACTGCTTAGAATATGAGTTGAAGTTTAAATAACTAGTGCATCAAATTTTTTATTACCTCCAGATCAATTTATTCTTGGAAATTTAGAGATAAGGAAACATATATGCAGATGTTTTCAAACAGAAAGCTTTATAGAAACAAAAAACAACATTAAAAATCTTTAGTATTCTTATCAAACATTCCTATGCTTTTTGGGAAACAGGCCACTTTTTCCTAGGTGGTATGGGTAGAAATGGGAATAAACACAATGCTGGTAAAAGTTGGTGTTATCCACCCTGATATTTTACTTTCTTTCCATCTTTTCCTCTTTCAAACGGTTGGTCTTCCAGTTGCTGACATAATGAACTGTTCTCACATGAATGTATCCGTACTGACATCAAGCCCTGTCTTTCTCCTAAACAGAATAACGTTGAAGTATATTTATTATATCAATAATGTCTTGAGACTTAATACTTATCTAGACTACTAAGACTCGTGGCCCCAACAATGCTATTTAATTTTCAGAAGATAAATTTAGTTGTTTTTTAAATCTGCCCATTTGGTGGTAGGATAACAATAACTAGCCTGTTGTATTGCTCATTGTCCAATGTGTCACACCATGTAGACTGGTTTTCCTGGGGCAATTGTTAAGTAAACAAGATTTTTATCACTCCCATGCCCACTTATGAAAAGCATCAACAGGAGCAAGAACTATAATATGAAACAGAAAAAAAATGAAACTGCAGTGAGTTGTTGAAAATATCCCCTAAAGACTTTTCTCAATGTTTTTGGTCATGTTTTTGTCATAGGAAATACAGCTTAAATATTTCTTTTATATCCAGTATAGATAGTATTTACAACACTAATATAAGGATTTAGAAGTATGTGGCAAAGAGATGAAACACATGTTTAGATGTCTTCTCACTCCAGCTAGAATGAAAAATGTGAGACTCTGTTTATTTTTTTTTCTAGGATTTTAGCAAATAAAAGTGTTCAGTTTCCATATGCATTGTCACCAAGTTTAGATCTACCCATGAGGAATGTTTAGGTGTATGTACAGGTCATTTTCAAAATGTAGAAACAGATGCAGTCAAATGGCCTCCTGAGTTTCCACCACAACTGCTTAAGAAACAATTTTCTTTCAAAGCTTTGCATTATCTCATCAAATCAGACTTAGTTATTCTCTGTTGTGACCACTAAAATTATTTGAGAATAATTGTAGATCAGATAGTATGCTTACCTTGAGCAGATTTGGAGAGGGTGGGGAATAACTTTTCAGAGATTCTATTTATAAAAAGGTAAAAAGCACCTATCTCAATCTCTGTGTATAGCTCTATGGATCAAATGGAAATGGTCTTTGCTTTGTATCTTGAATAGACTGGTAAATGAAGACATTTTATTTTCTATTATATTGCTTTTTCCTTCTTTTTTGTTCTTATTTTTGCACGGAACACAGTAACTTATTAAACAAGGCATATGCATTTGTTATTTACTTTTCCACAAGTGGGATCATACATGTACAGAACTTAGAACAGAGCTTGGGATGTAGTAATATAGATACAGATAAGTGCTGTGCTGTGCTAAGTCGCTTCCGTCATGTCTGACTTTTTGCCTCGCTATGGACCATAGACTGCTAGGCTCCTCTGCCCATCGGATTTCCCAGGCAAGAATACTGGAGTGGCTTGCCATGCCCTCCTCCAGGGGATCTTCCCAACCCAGAGACTGAACCCTCAGTCTCTTATATCTCCTGCATTTGGAGGCAGATTCTTTACCACTAGTGCCACCTGTATAGAAGTAAACAAATATTAGTTGTTGTTGTTGGTTGTATATTTTTAAATACATGAACCATATGAAGCAGCCTAGGAATTTAATGTTTTTATGAGAACCCTCTTAAACAGTAGATTGTTTTAGACTCAGAAGAGCAATTATTATGTACTAAGTGAAGTCACTCACTTAGTACTCTTTGCGACCCCACAGATTGTAGCCCACCAGGCTCCTCCATAAACATTTCATTCTATATTCTTGGCTGAAAACCAGGTGGCAAATTTAATTCCTCGGCCTACTAGCAAACATTCCAGGAATAGCCTCCAAACTTTTGTTACTTGCAATATTCACAGATCCCCAGGAGAAATAACTTCTTTTCATGGGCTCCTTTGAGAGAATAGCGTTGAAACATGTATATTACCATTTGTGAAACAGATGGCCAGTCCGGGTTCGAAGCATGAGACAGGATGCTCAGAGCCGGTGCACGGGGATGACCCTGAGCGATGGGATGGGGAGGGAAGTAGGAGGGGGGTTCAGGATGGGGGACGCATGTACACCCATGGCTGATTCATGCCAAAGTATGGCAAAAACCAGCACAATATTGTAAAGCAATTAGCCTCGAACTAATAAAAATGAATTATAAAAAAAGAAAATTAGAGATACCAAGGAGAAATAACTTCTTTTCATGGGCTCCTTTGAGAGAATAGCGTTGAAACATGTATATTACCATATGTGAAACAGATCGCCAGTCCAGGTTCGAAGCATGAGACAGGATGCTCAGAGCCGGTGCACTGGGATGACCCTGAGCGATGGGATGGGGAAGGAAGAGGGAGGAGGGTTCAGGATGGGGGACGCATGTACACCCATGGCTGATTCATGCCAATGTATGGCAAAAACCAGCACAATATTGTAAAGCAATTAGCCTCCAATTAAAATTAATTAATTAAAAATAAAAGTCAGCCTTTTAAGCATTAGCATTCATTGCCTTGTGTTAACTTGCCTTGGAGTTAACATTTCAAACATAGGAAACCCTGAAAACATATATATTCACAACAGAAATACTGACACGCTCTCGATGCTTCCAGCTACCTCCGCCTGCTGCGATGTCTGTTTACTCTGGTCTGGTATTTATTAAAATATACACATTTGCCATGGCAACCATTGCAACACAAAGCCTCTATGTGTTTCTAAGATAAGAAGAACCTTTTTTTTTTTTTAAAGAAACATACAAAAATATACTAGTTGTCCAAGTGCAGATTAGATATTCTGCAAAATGGAAATGTGTATAGTAATAACATTTTTATATGGAGCCATAAGAATATTTTTAAATATTTAGACTGTTTCTAAGTACCTATTATTGCTACCACTATTATTTTTTAAAAAAGAAATCTGAAAGGTGTGGTGTATTTGGATATATAACAGTGAATCTGGCAAAGAAGACAGGCACAGCAGTGTAAGAATTTGAGTTAATGGCTATCATTTTACAAAATACACATGATTTGTAAATATAATGCCTTATTTTTATTTTCCATGACATTTGACATTTTGTTTTCAAGTTTATTTGTTAAAAGTGAACATTGTAGAACCTGAAAAAACCCACTCTATATCTTTTTAAAGAACAAATAAAAAACATTCTTTCTCTTTTTATGCTGAAAAAGTGATTTGTGCTTTATTGTCAGGTGAGCAGGTGACTGGGCCTTTCTTTGGCCTCAATATTTGGTATATTTGTTGGCTTAAATCCCATGAAATTTGAAGCCCAACACACTTGACTATTTCCATGCTTTCCCTATTCAAACATGGGTTGCCTCCATCTATTTTTCTCACTTAATTTTGATAGAGAATAAAGGAATTTTAAAAATGTATTCACATAGGTTATTGAATCATTTTTCTAATTTTTAAAATAAAACTTAATAAATCTAGAAACTGAGGACATATACCTATTTTAGTTTTACTGAAAGAATTAGAAAGAGACACAGTTAGCTTTTTATTTCAATTCTGATCAAAATTCTTAAAAAGTAAGTAGGTAGAAAGCAATAGCTCAGAGGGATTGAGGAATCTGCGTATAGAATAACCTCTCATCAGATGAGAGCATTAAACTTCTGAAAAATCCATGAGAGGAGAATTCCAGGTTGGGTAATTCAATATCTTACGGGAAGATATGTTTTACAGGGTTAGGGCCAAGCCTGAGTGAATCCACAAAATACTTTTATACTCATAAAAGTAAAAATATCACGGATGATGTTATTACATATTTTAAACTGATGATGATAAATACAGTTAAATTCCAACTTCTCACCTTTTGCCCATGAAAATGTCCCTAGAATCTTTTTTTTTCCTGTAGAATCTCAAATTTTGCTGTTGCATAGCAACAAAAAATTAACTATTATTTACCCTGGTGGCTCAGTGGTAAAGAATCTGCCTGCCAATGCAAGAGATGCAGGTTTGATCCCTGGGTCTGGAAAATCCCCTGGAGTAGGAAATGGCAATCACTCCAGTATTCTTGCCTGGGAAATCCAATGGACAGAGGAGCCCATGGGGTCGAAAAGAGTCAGACACAACTTAGCGACTAAACAACAAAATCAATTACTTAATGAGATAATAGAAACTTATTATGAATAGAAGCTAAATGTCGCTTGACAAGTATTTTCTAGTATATATGGCTAATGTAAGCATAAGGTGTTAATTCTTTAATGTTTTCAATAAAAAGAACAAAGGGAAATCAAACTAAAGTTAAACATTGATAGGTTTTGGGAAAGTTTTGCTTTTGACCTTCACTTTGGAAAATAAAACCTGAATTCTCATCTGGCATAATAGCCAGGAAAGCTTTTAAGTATGACTGTCATAATCCATCTGAGTTATCTTCTCTTATAGGATAATCAAAGGGTTTGGGTCATTCCTCTTCGGGGAATCTTTTGTCAACTATTGGTAGACTATAGGGGCATGTTGATGGGTTCCGCCACACTAGAGTGTTAAAGAAGGCAGCTTAGTCAAATCACAAAACCAACGAATCACCTCTGCATGAGTCACATTTTCAATCACTCCAACCCCATTTCTCCATTTTATTTAAATATTATTTAATATTGATTTTTTCACCTGAGAACTAACTTGTTTTTAGACAAACCAAAGTGCACTGTTCCTTAGACATGATGTTTTAATTGGAGGATAACTGCTTTACAATGCTGCGCTGTTTTCTTCTGTGCAACAATGTGAATCAGCCATAAATATATTTATATCTCCCCCCTTTGGAACCTATGCCCTCATCCCACCCCTGTAGGTCTAGACGATTTTTTTAAGTGTCCTTGGTAATAAAGTTTCCCAAAATGGAATGTTTCATTACATAACTTAGCTTATATACTATATTTCATTTTTATTTCTTACTAGGGAATATTTCAAAGTTATACAAATGTTGGTGGAATAATATACAGAAACCTTACATATGCACTATCAGTTTCAACAATTATCAGCCATGGTTAATCTCATTACCTGTAAACCACCACTTCATTATTTTAAGGCAAATCCCAAATATGTTAACTTCCAAGTAAATATATCTTTCCATATCAGTAATAGAAAAGTACGCTTTTAAAAATGTAGTCACATAGCAGAGTTTTTAAAATCAAAACAACCCCTACTGTTTACTGGTGATGTCTTGCAATCTTAGAGAAAGTTGAGTAAGCACCTGGGTTAGTAGATCAGTACACATTTTGAAACCATACTGAAAGGGCACTCCAGTTTGGCCAGATTCTATCAGGAAGAAATGTTCAGTAAATTAGAGATACTATGAGGAAGGATATTTGTGCAAAACTGCACAAAATGTAGGCAGCAGGACAGGACAGTCAGGGAAACAGGCAAAGAAATGAAAGTGCAATTTTTCTTTAAAACAGAAGCAATTTACAAGAGTTAGATTGAAGAAGGCAGAAGATTAGAGTTTGAAGGTGACATTTTTAAGGTTGTATAAATTAACAAAATTCAGAATATTGAAAATTCTATCAGACATATGATTGGGATTTATCATCAAATAAATTACATGAGGTTAAAAAAAGAGAAAGTGTGGTTGAACCTCTGGGCTAAAACAGACTTAGGAGAAATATCAATCAATGAGTGTGTTCACCTGTTTCATTCTGATTCAAACACAGGGTAAAACAAAAAAGAGAATCAGGTATTTGAACACTGCATGAATATTCGCTAATATTAAGGAAACATTGGTTTACTTAAGGCGTGATGATATTTTAGCTATTTTTAAAGACTTCCTTTCTTTTTGAGATACATCCTGAATCATGTATGGACCAAATGGTATGATGACTGGGATCTGCTTAGAAATAATCTGGTAATGATTATGGTAGGGGTAGCAGGGCGGAAAAGCTTGGGTATAGGTGAAATGCAACAGAGTATTAACAATTGTTGAAGTTACACGAAGACAGAGTTACAGAATATCATTCTCTATTTTGAAAGATGTTAGAGATTTCCATATTAAACATGGTTAAGTTTCCTAGTTCAGAACTACTACATGTATTTTCCTTGATAGTTCTCCCAGAAGTTTAAAAGCAGAAGGAAGACACTATAAAGTTCTTCAACCAACCAGAAATTTCTATTAACTGGCACCTTTGAATTTGGCCATGACAGATGAAGTTCATGATGGTGAGCCCAGAGCACTCTGAAACATTGAAAGATTAAATTACATTTGATAAGACTGTGATTTTAAAATGAATCTTGCTATGTTCTAATTTTTTGAAAATCAGCAATCCATAGCAGGTACAATTTCCCCTTAATCAGAACACTCTATTCCTCAGTCATTTAACAGAGCTTTTCCATATCCTTAGTTAGACAAAGGAGACTTCTGAGCAAATGTTCTTCCTCTGTGACTGTGAAATTTGTACAGATCCATGTGCATATGTGCACTTCACGTAATATTGAGAACTCCTTTGGAAGAGGTTGTTATCCTGAAACACTTGCACACATAGAGTTCCAACCACTTTAAAAAAGAGTAATTATTTAAGGTGTGGCCCCAGAATAGGAAAAAGTCAGAATTTGTATGGGACCCTTTATTCCAAACCCAGTATATTTTGCTATTTATTTAAAGTATGGCTGTTCTGTTTATAATTGCATGCTATGGTCTAAACACATCCTTTTTAGGTCTGTAATTCAAAACACAAAAGGAGTTTGTTTAGACATAAGTGTAACCAGAAAAAGAGCTAGTAGTTATGCCCTTGATTTGATTGAAGCCATGCTTCAGTAAAATATCAATCAATTTGTAGGGAAGCATTAGAACTCTAATAACTTGGTATTAGGTAGCTCAAACAACCAGTTAATTCATGGAAATTTTCACTTGTCTGAGGCTACAGTTTGTGTTTGTGAATAGCTTCAAGGATAGCTGATTCATCATGAGACTATTTTAATTACTCTTTGTAGCAAATATCTAGGATTGGTTCCCTTCTTTGTGAAAATTCTTCCATCACTTGATTATCTCTTACTAAAACTAAAATCTATGCCAAACCACACATATTTCCATAGATTTAAGAAGGGAAGAATCATTCTGTTTCCATCTGTTTGTATCTGGTCTCAGTGGGTGGGCAGCTGAAGATTCTCCCTTCCTTGCTGACAGGCAGAGAGGGACTCTGTTCCTCCTTGAGATACCAATTAGGGTTGAAAGATGCAGAGAAGTCTAAACTATCAAGTTTTCTTCATCCTCCACTCACAGCACTATCCTGTTAATTTTGTAAAGCCTGAAATCTCTTTTATTTAAGTTCTCACTAGTAATAATCATATTCATAACAGCCCAACATTATGCCAGGTACTTGTATCAAGTCAGTAATATCTTAACCTTCATTCTTGTTCATTCATTAAGTCGTACCAGACTCTTTGTGACCCTGTGGATTGCACCACACCAGACTCCCTGTCCTTCACTCTCTCCTGGAGTTTGCTCACATTTATGTTCACTGAGTTGATGATGCCATATTATCTCCCCATTTTTCAAGTAGGGCAACTGATGATCAAAAAGATGGAGTAACTTATTCAAAGACCAAAGCTGGTGAAGGACTGGATAAGCAGGACACGCATACCCCCATGTCTGACTGCAGAATCCAGTTCAATGGCCACGGATTATCTACTCCATGTTGAACACTATT